ACGGCAGAAGCTGGACGCCCTGTGCCGCCACCAGGTGCACCAGGGAGTCTGCATGGAGGTGAGCCCGCTGCGGCCCCGGCCCTGGACCGAGGCTGGGGAGGCGAGGCCAGGAGATGACCCCCAGCAGCTGTGGCTCGTCCTCGAGAGGCTCCAGGATCCGCGGAATCTCGGGGCCGTGCTGCGCTCCGCTCACTTCCTCGGAGTGGACCAGGTCATCACCAGCCGCAGAAACAGGCACGGACATTCATTATTCCCCGCGTGTCCCAATTTCAAGGGGCAGCCGAGTTCCTCAGCACCTTGACCCTTTGGTGATCCCCTAGGCCGGTCTCCCTATCGCCAGAATTTTCATCTCTAACCCTTGGGGGGGAGGGGAGGGGAGGGCGCCGGGCTTGAGATGACGCAGCTTTACACGGGGCATGGGGTCACTTTGCAGCTGCCCGCTCACTCCGGTAGTCAGCAAGGCCAGCGCGGGGGCTATGGAGGTGATGGACATATTCTTCACCGATGACCTGGGCGGATTTTTACAGGTGAGGGCCGAGGGGTTGGGGTGGCGGGAAGGAGCAGAAATGAGCCACGCTCAGCCTCTCAGGCCACTTAACCGGGAACTGGTGGAGGAAGGGGGAGAAGAGAGCATGTTGGCATTTCCTGTGCTTCTCTAAATCCCTTCGGGAAGAGGGAAGGATCCCAGGGTTTTTAAAACCACGAGGGGAACAGAGTCTGAAGTTGGAGACGTCCTAGCCTCATTCCCTTTGCTGCATTTCTCCAGGCATACCTTTTTGCCCGGCTGCAGGTCTGCCACGGGGCCTCCGTACCTGCTAAGTAGGTCTTCAGTAAATGTGTCCCGAGTCCCTCCCTAGGAGCATAGCTTGCAAGGCTCTTTAAAAAAAAACTTTATTGTTGAAAGTATTACATATGTCCCTCTTCCCCCCCCCCCCCCCGACTCCTTCTAGCCTGCTTGAAAGGCTCTTTGAGTAAGGACTAGTCTATGCCTTTCCCCTCTTCCCTTTCACACACACAAAACAACCCCCACTACCACACAAAAAACCCCACAAAATTTGGGGAGCAAACCTAAGTAAAGAACCCCCCCTGCTGTTCTCTTGCTGGACACAAGGGGGCAGTATTGCCTCCCTTTCACACACACAAAACAACCCCCACTACCACACAGAAAAACCCACAAAATTTGGGGAGCAAACCTAAGAAACCCCCTGCTGTTCTCTTGCTGAACACAAGGGGGCAGTATTGCTCTGCACTTGGCCGTTCCACTGACCATCTCCAGGTCTCTTCCAAGTCTCAGTACTTCTTGGATCTCATTTATATATATATATTCTCTTTTCTTTTTCTTTCTTTCTTTTTTTTTTTGCCTCATCCACTCTCACGGCTTTAAGTAGCATCTGTATTTGAACGCATCCCAAATGTATAGCCTAACCTGGATCTTGCTCCTAAATCCCAGATTCACGTATCTAGTTACCTACTCAATAGCTCTGTTTTCAAACAACTAGCAACACTGGTTTGAAAAAAGCAAGTTAAATAATAGTTGATGGGATTTTAGAAAGCTGCTCAATGTCCTCAACCCAGAATGATTCCAATATGAATAAATAAAAGCATCTCAAAGGGGTTATAAAACAAAACAGCTTTCTTTTGCTGTCTAATCGGCATTTCAAACTGAACAGTTCCATAGCCCAGCCCCTGTTCCTTCTGGAGACCCAGCTCAATCGATGGCAGCTCCATCCTTTCAGGGGTTAGGATAGAAACCTTGGCATCGCCCTTGATTTTTTTTTTTTCTGCTCTCACACCCATTCCCATTTGTCAGTGCATCCTTTTGGTTTTACCATAGAGTTATTTGCATATTCTCACCACTTCTTCTCTCTCCACTGCTACAATTCTGGTCCAAGCCACCATCATCTCTTGCCTGTATTATTGTGAAACCTCCTACCTGATCTTGCTTCTGCTATTGGCTGTCAACCCAACAGGCAGAGAGATCCTGTTGCAACATAAGTCAGATCATGCGTTCAGAGTTTTTAAAAGCCTTTGCATTTCTCTCATAGTATAAGCCAGAGTCCTTCTAGTGGCCTTTGAGGTTCTACCTTATGTAGCCCTTTGTTCCCTCTCCTGCCTCAATGGCTCCCTTCCCATGGCCACCTTGCTATTGTGCTGTTCCTCACACATAGCAGGTAAGCAGCCACCCCCAGCCTTTGCATTTACTGATCACTGCCTAGAAGATTCTTCCCCCTGATGTCTACACCGTGCTTCCTCATCTCCTTCTGATCTCCACTCAAAAGTCATTTCAGTGAGGCCCTCCCTTCCATGAGGCTGGGATTTTGGCTGCTGTTCACTGCCCTATCTCCAGTGCCTAGAACAGAGTCTGCCCATTCTAGGTGCTTATTAATTATTGACTGAACTGAATGGCTCACCGAGGTAATGCATACAGGGTGGGGCAAAAGTAGGTTTATAATTGTTCGCATGGAAAATAATCTAATAATTAATATTAACACAAGAATAAACTGTTTCGAGTGCTCACAACTGTAAACCTACTTTTGCCCCACCTTATATATGGGCAAGGTTGGGCTATTCCTTGGCCAGGGCTCTGATGAAGGTTTGGTGAGCTAGAATATGATTTCTTTCCCCTTTCAGGCCAAAGCCCGGCAGGGCTGGCTCGTGGCTGGCACGGTGGGCTGCTCGGGGCCTGAGATTTCCGGATCCTCTGAGATCCCCATCACTAGTTGCTTGGAGTTCCTCTGGGACCAGCCTACTCTCCTAGTGCTGGGTAGGTAGATGTTCCTGCTTTTCTGTGCTCAGCTGTTCATTTCCTGAGTGCCTGCCTGTCCAGCTGTGGCATCCCTAATCTCTGCCCTTTCCCCTCTCCCTTGCTCTGCAGGGAATGAGGGCTCTGGCCTGTCCCCAGAGGTGCAAGCCTCCTGCCAGCTCCTCCTCACCATCCTGCCTGGCCGGCAGCTGCCTCCTGGACTGGAATCCTTGAATGTCTCCGTGGCTGCAGGTGAGTCTTACTTCTTTTCCTCTGATCACACATGTGTAGCTGTTTCATCCTAAACAAGTTTCTCAATCATTCTGCATGTCCATTGCTTTCTGTGCCAAATGCAGAAAATACATCCTTTTGAGAATGAAATGAGGGAGTGCCTGCCATATGGTCCTTCCTCTTCTCAGTTCTCTTCCCCATATCATTCTGTCTGTCTTTGCAGGAATTCTTCTTCACTCCATTTGCAGCCAGAGGAAGGGTTTTCCTGAAGACGGGAAGAGAGGGCAACATCTCCGAGACCCCCAAGAACCCTCAGCCACGGCTGAAGGGCCCAGATTGCCTCAGCACCCAGGACTGCCCTCAGGATCAGAAAGAGAGAGGCAAGATGGGGGCTGACTTGAACTGTTCAAGATGTGTATGTGCTGGAGGGCAGGGGATAGGTGGCCCACGCATCCACACGGTGAAGTGTTGGAATCTGTTACTTGAGTGTGCACCAGGCTCTGTTCAGTAATCGCTGTCTTGGGAAGCGGGGAGCTTTGCGGTGGAGACCGGAAGAAGTCCCGTTTCCTGTTTTGAGTTTGCACTTGCAGTTGGAGATGGTAGCCTGTTAATTTCTAGGATGTGCTAGTTGAGAGGGTCTGTTTCCTCCCAGGTCCTGCCTGGATATCAAGGGGAAGTCTAAACATCAGAAGGGAGTTGGGCAGCACAGTCCAGGGATTCTATTCCTTCGAACCAGTGTGAGAATGTAGAGGGAGCCAAGAGCTCTTTGTGGGCCAGACAGGTGCAAATCCAGGCTCACACCCTGCCCCACTGCGGGGCCTTGAGCACCGACTTCATCTTTATATGCCTCAGAGCCCTTGTTGGCACCTCCCTCTCAGGGCTGTTGAGAGGCTCAAATAAAACCTCAACTGGTGGGCCATTCTGTTCGTTTCATCCATTAGGTGGCAGCCTTGCTCTTTAGTCCACAGTCTTTTCGGGAAGCTCTTGCAGTCATCTGGGGAGATCCCTGGCCTTGGCCTCCAAGAGGCAAGGGAAAAGTTAGCAAACACCTCCCACCCCACTGGTCCTCAAGTCCCCCTTACTGGTGAGTCAGCAGTTAGTCCACCTACACGGAAGGAACCAATGAAGCCTGGCCTTTGATTCTGGGAGGTGGCAAGGATAGGGTTGCTGGTTGTTATCGGGACCGATTTGGTACTTGTCCCTCAGGGTCCCACAGATGGAACAGAGGCCACAGGTGTAAGTAGTTTAGAATAGTCTGGCCTGCACATTGGAACCATCTGGGAAGCTTTAAGAATCAACTGACACTGGGACCGATCCCCAGAGTCTGATGTAGTTGGTCAGGGTACAGCTGGGCATCAGGATTTGTAAAGCTTCCCCCTTTCCCACCGCACGTGTTATGTGCAGCCCAGGCTGAGAACCTGGAGCAGGGTTTGTCAATCTCAGCGCTGTTAACATTCTGGGCTGGATAATTCTCTGTTGTGGGGACTGTGCTGTGCATTGTAGGATGTTTAGCAGCACCCCTGGCCTCTACCTACCAGATGCCAGTAGCAGCCCCCTTCCTCCAGTTGTGACAACCAAAAATCTCTCTAGACATTGCCATATGTCCCTGGAGGGTGGGGTGGGGGAGTCACCCCTGGTTGAGAACCACTGCTCTGGAGTGTGGGTCTGGAGGACAACAACCCTAAATTCAAATCCTGATTGCTGTGTGACCTTGGGCAAGTTCCTTACCTGCCTGGGCCTCAGTCCCCTCCTCGGTGAAAGGGGATAACCCTATCCTTGTGGATTGCTAGGAGGATTCAGAGGACACTAGGAACTCGGTGCCTCACGCATAGTAGGTGCTCAGTAAATAGTACTGCCCTTTCTCTGTGGACTGCATTTATCTTGGAATTCTAATGGTCATGCCAATTTAGAAAGACATTTGAATTTGTTTTAAAAGGGCCTAAGATTGCTTTAAAGTCACAGTTGATCCTCTCAAGAAAAGAAGAAACCCCTTCATAAACTCCACAGATCACCACTTTATTGGCACTCTCCATCCTCCCTTGAACTGTCCATCCCCATCTGGCACACAGGCTCTGACCTCTGCTGGCACAAGTCAACCTTGGGCATACTACCTGTTTCCTCCGTCCCTGCTGTGCTCTTGGCCAAGAGCCTAGAGTGGCTTTGTACCTTGGCTGCACCATAGAGTCATGGGATCAGGGAAGGGGGATAACTTTTAATATTCCAGATCCCAGAGGCACCAGACTGATAAAATCAGAATCTGTGGGGAGCAAGCCAGGTACACGCATTTCTTGCAGCTCCCCTGCTAGTGTGCAGCCAGGTTTGAGAATCACTGTTCCTCCAGCCACCCGCTCATATCCAAGAAACCTCTACCAAATCATTCACACCATGCTTTTGAGGGCATGCCTGGAAGCACACGCCAGGCAACCTCTCATCTGTCCCTAAAGTTCTTTAGAAGATGCTGGTTCTAGCCCTGGCTCCATGGCTTCTTACCTAGATGGCTTCTCAGTCTCCACACCTGTAAAATGGGAATGGCACCATCAACACCTGCTCCAGCTGCCCCCTCCCCAGCAGAGATGTAAAATAAGATGAGAGCATGTCAGTAAAACATGTTTTTGGCCAGTGTTGATCAGTGATTAGAGTGTTGGCCTGCTCACCCAAGGGTTTCAGGGAATGTACCTGGGTTGTGGGTTAGCTCCCCACCCCTGGTTAGGGCACGTGCAGGAGGCAACCAGTTAGTGTGTCTCTCAGACATCAATGTTTCTCTCTCTCTTCCCCCCTCACCCTCCCACTCTCTCTGAAAAGCAATGAGAAAAATATCTTAGGGTGAGGATTAACAACAACAAAAAAAGTGTTCTGTAAACTAAAGAACTATGCACCAAGGACTGGCACACAACAACAGTGTGATGGTTCACTTTATATGTCAACTTGACTGGGCCATGGTGCCCTGATACTTGGTCAAAAGTTCTGAGTGTGTTTGTGAGGGTGACTTTGGGTGAGAATAACATTCAAATTGGTAGACTGAGTAAAACAGATTGCTCTTCCTAATGTGGGTGCGCCTCATTCAATCAGTTGAAGGCCTAAATAGGACAAAAAGCCTCACCCATGAGTAAGAGAACTCTGTTTTTTTTGGAACTGAAAACACGGGCTCTTCTGGAGTCTCGAGCCTGCTGGCCTTCAGATGGGAATGACGTCATTGGCCTCCAGCATGAGACTCACCCTGCAGAACTTGGGGTGCCAGCCCCCATGATTACATGAACCAATTCTCTATCCTACATAATAAAAGGCTAATATGCAAATTGTCCCCTTGGGAGTTCGACCAGGTGTTCGACTGCTCGCTACGATGTGTGATGACCACCAGGGGGTGGTGCGGGGGAAGGAAGGCCCTGATTGGCCCTGATCGCCGGCCAGGCCTAGGGACCCTACCCATGCACAAATTTTGTGCACTGGGCCTCTAGTAATAAATAAATAGATAAGTGTGTGTGTCTTCTATTGGTTCTGTTTCTCTGGAGAACCCAGACTAACAGATTTGGTGAAAATAAACTCAGGTGTCCTGGAGTTCCTTCCATGTAGGGACCCAAACCCAGCATGGAAACTAGAAGTTGGGATTGGGGGTACTCAGGGTCCAGAGCCCCTAGTCTTGCCCATGGACTCCTCTGGTATCTGGAACCCTATCTGACCTGCTTGGAGCATGCTATTTATCAGCTTGCTGGGTCCCTGTGGTCTGGGCCATCTGAGGGGTCACTCTCCTGGGCTAATAGCCAGGCACAGGGGGCTCCTCCCTGCTTCATCCCTGGGCAGCAGGCTGGCTGGTCTCTGGAAAGATAGGTTCACTTGAACCAGAAGTAGTTCTGTTACGAAAACCAGGCATTCTCAAGACAGAGAAAGCACCTGAGGTCCCAAGGCCCAGGATGAGGTCTGCTTCTCCTTGGAGTGGCCGCTGGTGGCTGACACATGACACTGTTCACCAGGTGTGGTCCATACCCAGGAGCTCCAGGGGCTGTGACAGGGAATGAAGGTGCTGGGTGCAGGTCCCTCCCTGGAGGGCAGGGTCGGGATGAAACACGAGAGGCCAGGGCAGTTTGCTGAGTCCCAACTCTGTGCCTTGATGATGGTGTAAATGTGAACATGTCCCTTCACTTTTCCAAGTCTTACTTTCCTCATCAATAAAATGGGGATAACCGTGGTGTCTACTTCCGAGGAGCCTGGTGCAGATGAAATGAGATGATGCGCGTGAAGACCTCAGCCGGTGCCTGGGACATGGTGGCTGTTCTCATGGCACCCAGGTGCAGACCCAGAGGTCAGGGCACCGGGCTCTTCTCTCCTCGAAACCCGGCCTCAATTTCCCCATAGGCTCTAGGGCAGTGGTTCTCAACCTTCTTAATGCCGCGACCCTTTAATACAGTTCCTCATGTTGTGGTGACCCCCAACCATAAAATTATTTTCGTTGCTACTTCATAACTGTAATGTTGCTACTGTTATGAATCGTAAAGTAAATATCTGATATGCAGGATGGTCTTAGGCGACCCCTGTGAAAGGGTCGTTCGACCCGCGACCCATAGGTTGAGAACCACTGCTCTAGGGTCTCTTTCAGCTGCAACACTCAATGATTCACCTCTGAAAACCACTAGAGCGAATTGGAGAGGGGAGGGGCTGAAATGGCATTTGCAGGATCCTCCTTGTCTGGGCTCCACAGCCAAGACGGGGAGGGTCCCCGAAGGGTTGGAGGCTGCCTTAGAATTTCCAGAGCAGCTGTATTGTGGCCAACACCCCTGCTTCCTTCCAGGGCTGGACTTTTCTTTTGGCAGGAGGCTAAATTGCCAAGTTCTGCACCCCCCCCCCACCCCCCCCGGCTGGGGTCCTAAATGACCCCCCCCCCACACACAAACACACACACTCCTGCAGGGCCAGGCGCCAGGGGGGCCTCACAGTTTGTAAATGTAATCAACCTTGAGGTCTCTGTCTTCCACAGGTGCAATTAGCATGCCCATCTGCTAATCCCTGATAAATGATGTTTACAAACATGGGGCTCCACTCAACGGAGCTGCTCAGCCCCTCCCTCCCAGGCCAGGAGGCTGGGGTCTTCCTAGTACACCCCCCTCCACTACTACTTCAGTCTTCTCCAGTCTGCATCCCCTTTCCAGGCAGTGGGCAGAGCTGGAGGCCCCTCCTTGGACCCCCTGCCCCACTGTCTTTGCACACACGTGGAAGATGAAGAGAGCACACAGGGAGCCTGCTCCTCCTTCCCGGGTCTGAACTTTCAGGACAGGTGGTGGGCTGGGTGTGCTTCCTTTATTCGCCTCCCTTCGTGGAAGTGTGGGCCCACTCCTAGTGCCCCCAGGGTTGGGCTCCTGGATCCATCCCCAGATGGGAACATTCCCACCCCACCCACCTTCCTGCTGAGGACCTAGCATGGGTCCATGTCAGAGGCACAGTAGCAAAAGCATTAACACAGACTTCTGAGTTGGATAGTCCTGGGTCCAAATGTTAGCTCTTCCTCAGGCCACTTGACCTGATTGAACCTCAGTGTCTTCATCTGTAAAATGGAGACATGACATCAACAGTGCCTGGGACACAGTAGATGCTCAATAAATGTGCGTTTGCTGTGAAGATGATGAAAAGAGGCATCTGAAACTACAAAGATGCCCAAGGATTTCCCCTCCTCCCCTACACCTCCTCTCTCTCGGGAGCAGGGCAGGTCCCAGCTCATTACTGGTGGGGGTTGGGGTAGAGGTGTCAGATTGGAATCACTCCTGGGTCTGTTCGAAGCTTCCCTGTTTCATTAACACCTCCTTGGTGGTCTTCAGCTCATCCTGCTGGGGGAGGTGCTCCAGAAAGTTCTCACTGCCTCCTTTCCAGCCCAGAGCTCAGTGCTCCCCCTAGGTTTGGGCTCAGAATGCCCATAGAGTTTTATGTGGGGAGAAGTGGCCAGTTCTGGCCAGGAGGATGTCACCATCCCTTTCTCCCAGGGATGGTCTTGGAAGCTTGGTCAGGTGGCATAGCACCTGGGGCCACCCCTTGCTTTATCCTCCCCGCTTAACCTCATCCAGAGGTTCTAATCCCCCCATCCCCACTGCCACTTCCCTTCAAATCAGCATGAACAGCATGGTCTGGGTTCTAATCCTGACCCACCTCTTCCTAGTGGGATAACCTAAGGCAAGTTGTTATCCTCTAGGACAGTGGTTCTCAACCTGTGGGTCGCGACCCCTTTGGGAGTGAAATGACCCTTTCACAGGGGTCGTCTAAGACCATCAGAAAACATATATAATTACATATTGTTTTTGTGATTAATCACTATGCTTTAATTATGTTCAATTTGTAACAATGAAAATACATCCTGCATATCAGATATTTACATTACGATTCATAACAGTAGCAAGATTACAGTTATGAAGTAGCAACGAAAATAATTTTATGGTTGGGGGTCACCACAACATGAGGAACTGTATTAAAGGACCGCCGCATTAGGAAGGTTGAGAACCACTGCTCTAGGATATGCATTGTCTCTTCTTTGAACCTGTATTAAAGGGTCGCAGTATTAGGAAGGTTGAGAACTACTGCTCTAGGA